TTCTATTATATCATCTCTAATTCCTGATTTATTCATGAGGAGAATGGAGGAGAAATCCCAGGAGTGACTTGGACCCTGGAGAATGGTGCCATCCTATATTTGTGATATGCCCTTTTGATACCTATATAGGGTAATTATCCACTGCTACAGGAGTTGGAGTGGTTTTTTTTTGTTTTTTTTTCTTTCAGAGTGGGTTTTAGTGTGATCACTGTGTGTTATACAGTGTGGATATATATGTCACTTGAGTGAGTCACTGTTGTTTGTTGCAGTGTTCACAAATGGAGTGGATTCACATTTGCAGGAGTGATTTTATGTATGTTTTATTAATAGAATATTATTTGATATAGTGTATCAATTATATATATATTTTTTTTTTTTTCCTTTCCTTGCCTTGCCTCACGTGTGTTGTGCACAAGTTATGCGTTTTTGCATGATTCACGATAAGTGGCACTTATTAATTTTCAGTAAGGGTACTACACTATTTTGAGTTTTGTTTTTTTGAGGTACATGAATATCGGAAACTTCACGGTGATTGAATTTAAGAGAGATATTTTGGAGGAAGAAAAGACTATATTTTATGGAACTGTACATATGGTGATTAAGGACATTGGGGACACTTTGTGTATTGGTATCTGATATAATTTTTGAAAGAAAAGGTGTATTTACATTTTAATATACCACAGCAGTTGCTCACACAGCACGTGCATATACCTTCACAATCTGCACAGTAATGCTGGACAAATAGGTACTTACAGAGGCACAGTGGGGTGGTTCAGTATTGGGAAAGTACAGCTAAAAGTAGCACTAGTAGCTCGAGTCACATATGTCAGACACAGGCAAGTGAGCCAATGAGGAGAGTGAGCTGGATTGGCTGAGCTGTGGCTTTGTGTGTGAATGGAAACGCAGAGCAGTGGCTCGGGAGCGAGCCTGCCTGGGTGACCCCATAGCAAGCTGCTTGCTCTGGGAGCACAAGGCAGGAGGGTGGGGCCAGGAGCGCCGGTGGGGGGACCCAAGAAGAGAAGGATCGGAGCTGCTCTGTGCAAAAACCATTGTACAGAACAAGTATGACATGTTTTTATTTTTTAATTGCTTTTAATATCACTTTAATAATAGAATGCAATGACAAACTGCAGTTTCTATAGCTAGCAAAATATTTTCTTGCATTAAACAATGTACAGACAAAATGTTTCCCTGTAGAAATCATTAGTAAGACCTTCTGGAATATGCAGTTCAGTTTTGGGCACAAAAAGAACATTGGGGAACTGGAGAAGAAGTGCAGAGAAGGGCAACCAAACTGACAAGAGGCATGGAGGAGCATAGTTTAAAGAAAGATGAATTTATTCTCTCTTGAGAAGAGGCAGTTAAGGGGGGATATGATCAACATGTATAAACACGTAAGTGGCCCATATAGTGAACTTGGTGTGGAGTTATTCACTTTTGGGTCAGTACAAAGGACAAGGGGGCACTTTTTACATCTGGAGAAAAAAAGAGATTTAACCTCTTCCCTACCGTGCTATAGCGAAAGATGGATACAGTGCGGTTGTCTAGTTCTGGGACGTTGTCCATGGACTTAATTCCAGAACACGTCCCCTGAGCGTCCCCAGCGCCAGTGATTACTGTGTCCTACGGACACAGCTGATCACATGATACAGTAAATGGCCAATCATAGCAGCCTTTTAACACACGTGATCAGCTGTGTCCAGTGACGCAGCAGATAACCTGGTAAATCCAGTTGCTGGTTATCGGCTGCACTTTCCTCAAGCTGTCACAGCTTGAGGAAAGTACTGCCGATAACCGGCAATTGTCAGAAGAAGCGATCAGCACTGTGGTGATTAAATACCACCAAAAGAAAGCTCTATTTGTGTGCCACCCAAAAAAAATGATAAAAATTTCATAGGAGTACAGTGTTGCATGACCGCACAATTGTCATTCAAAGTGCGACAGCTCTAAAAGCTGAAAATTGGCCTGGGCAGGAAGGGGGTATAAGTGCCCAGTAGGCAAGTGGTTAAAGCGGTAGTAAACTGAATTTTTTTTAAAAAGTTGTCAGTCTTTTTTGTCATAGCAGCTCCCTTCTGCCTGTCAGCTGTCATGTACACCCAGCCAGGCATGCGCAGTTTAGTGCAGATTAACAACCCCTGATTTGTGCTGGGGTAACATGTCTCCCGTGTATGCATGGCAGTGACTCCACCACAGCCCGGCCATTCAAGTGTCTGAAAGCACGGGACCCAGAAGGAAGATCAGGTGATGATGGAAGAGTCGGGGGCTCCCGGATTGATTACACCACAGTGCTGGAGGGTTTTCTTGGCAGGTAAATCTACCATAATATGCCAATATGCCGTACATACTAGCACATTATGGCATAACCCACCTGGGCCCCCCAAAAAAAAAAAGTTATAGAGAACTTAACTACCACTTTAACCTTTACATGTGGAAAGGCTTCTTCACAGTCAGAGCTGTAGAAATGTGGAAAAACCTACCTCAAGAACTAGTTCTGCCCAGCTTAGTAGATTGCTTTAAAAAAAGAGCTGGATGCATTCCTAAATGCACAAAATATAACTAGATACACATTTTAGGAGATAATAACACCAAGGACAGTTGATTCTAGGATTATCCGACTGTCTCCTGGGGGATCAGGAAGGAATTCCCCCCCCCCCCCTTTCCCAATTGAGCAAATTGGATCATGCTGTATTGGGGGGGGGGTTGCCTTCCTCTAGATCAACTATAGGTATAGGATAGTGTGTATGGAGGGTTTTTTTCCTATATTTGTTGAGTTTTATTTGTTTTTGTTTTCTTTTTTTTTTTATTCGTTGAACTGGATGGGGTAGTGTTTTTTTCAGCCTCACTGTAACTATGTATATGTAAGAAATCAGTGTGCACTGTAAAGTCTACCATTTTGAAGGCAACTAGATCCTGGTCAGGCAAATTGGTAAGAGTAAACTGAATTAAAAACCAATATGATTCACCAATGAGGTAAGTAGAAAAGAAGAAATAAGCAGCATATAGAAGATTCAAGGAAACGGGAAGTGTAGCTGATAAAGAAAAAGTATATAAAAATAGACAAAAGGAAACCACACATTATCATTGCTGCCAAAGCACAATAAAATGAAATGGAAACTGGGCACAACACTTCTGCTGAGGGAGACCTTGATGTGGCAAGCCATTTAAACAATTACTTCTGTTCAGTCTTCGCAGAAATAAATTATACTGACAATAACAAGTTGGGGGATCATATTGGTTCTAGTAATGACAATTCATTTTAAGGATTTCTGTAGCAAAGGTAGCAGAGGAACTGAATTGGTTAAAGCTTAATAAAGCCCGTACAGGGACCCATGACACACTCTGGACCTGGCAGCAGCATGAGGAGGCGGTACAGGGGCCCATGACAGATTACGGGCCTGGCAGCAGCATGCATGAGGAGTCGGTACGGGGGCCCATGGCAGATTACGGGCCTGGCAGCAGCAATGGGAGGCCATACAGCACCCTATGACAAAATGGAACCCACCAGCAGTGTGAGGAGACCTGAAAGTGGCACATGGCAGAGTGTGGCGATGGAGACAGCAGCAATGGGAGGCCGTACAGGGACCCATGACACACTCTGGACCTGGCAGCAGCATGAGGAGGCGGTACAGGGGCCCATGACAGATTACGGGCCTGGCAGCAGCATGAGGAGGTGGTACGGGGCCCATGGCAGATTAGGGCCTGGAAGCAGCAATGGGAGGCCATACAGCACCCTATGACAAAATGGAACCCACCAGCAGTGTGAGGTGACCTGAAAGTGGCACATGGCAGAGTGTGGCGATGGAGACAGCAGCAATGGGAGGCCGTACAGGGACCCATGACACACTCTGGACCTGGCAGCAGCATGAGGAGGCGGGTTACAGGGGCCCATGACAGATTACGGGCCTGGCAGCAGCATGAGGAGGCGGTACAGGGGCCCATGGCAGATTAGGGGCCTGTCAGCAGCAATGGGAGGCCATACAGCATCCTATGACAAAATGGAACCCACCAGCAGTGTGAGGAGACCTGAAAGTGGCACATGGCAGAGTGTGGCGATGGAGACAGCAGCAATGGGAGGCCGTACAGGGACCCATGACACACTCTGGACCTGGCAGCTGCATGAGGAGGCGGCACAGGGGCCCATGGCAGATTACGGGCCTGGCAGCAGCAATGGGAGGCCCGTAATCTGCCAGCACCCTATGACAAGATGGAACCCACCAGCAGTGTGAGGAGACCTGAAAGTGGCACATGGCAGAGTGTGGCGATGGAGACAGCAGCAATGGGAGGCGGTACAGAGACCCATGACACACTCTGGACCTGGCAGCAGCATGAGGAGGCGGTACATGGGCCCATTACAGATTACGGGCCTGGCAGCAGCATGCATGAGGAGTCGGTACGGGGGCCCATGGCAGATTACAGGCCTGGCAGCAGCAAATGGGAGGCCTACAGCACCCTTATGACAAAAAATGGAACCCACCAGCAGTGTGAGGAGACCTGAAAAGTGGACACATGGCAGAGTGTGGCCGCAATGGAGACAGCAAGCAATGGGAGGCCGTACAGCTATGTCCCAGACAACTGGCAGCCTGGCATGAATAGGCGGTACAGGTGAAGTATACGGGCCTGGCAGCAGCATGCGAAGGAGACCGGAATCTGCCAGCAACCCATTGACAGATTACATGGTCCCTCCAAGCAACATGGGAGGCCAGTCGTGCCACACCGCTAGTGACAAAATGGCACCTCACCTGCAGCATATGAGGAGGGCGGTCAACAGGGGCTCCGATGACACATTACGGGCCTGGCAGCAGCCCATTGAGGAGGCGGGTCTAGTTTGGGCCCAATGGTCAAGAATTAACGGGCCTGGGCAGCAAGGGCCAATGCCTGTAGCGCTCGGGGGGCAACCTGCTGTCAAAATCGGATACCCACCGCAGCCAGTGTGAGGCAGTGTCCTGAAAGTGCAGCACACTTTGGCAAGAGTGCTGAAGTCGCGATGGAGACAGTTTCCTCACTGGGAGGCTGACGTACAGGGGACCCAATGACACATGTCGACCTGACAGCAGCATGAGAGGTGGTACAGGGGCCCATGACAGATTACGGGCCTGGGCAAGCATGCATGGGAAGTTTCGGGGGGGGCCATGGCAGATTAACGGGCCTGGCAAGCAGCAATGGGAGGCCATACAGCACCCTATGACAAAATGGAACCCACCAGCAGTGTGAAGGAGACCTGAAAGTGGCACAATGGCAGAGTGTGGCGATGAGACAGCAGCAATGGGAGGCCGTACAGGGACCCATGACACACTGTGGACCTGGCAGCAGCATGAGGATTGCGGTACTGGGGGCCCATGACAGATTACGGGCCTGGCAGCAGCACTGAGGAGGCGGTACGGACAGGGCCCTATGCAGATTAGGGCCTGTACAGCAGTGCAAAGACCCTTAAGTGCCATAATCAGCACCCCTATGACAAAATGGAACCCACCACAGTGTGAGGAGACCTAGGAAAAAGTGGCACATGGCAGAGCTGTGGCGATGGAGACGTCCCAGCAGCAATTCGAGGCCGGTACTGGGACCCACAACACACTCTGGACCTGGCAGCAGCATGAGGAGCCGGTACAGCCTCCGGCCCATGGCAGATCGACATCCCGTGGCTCGCCTCCCCCCCAGCAGCAATGGGAGGCCCGTAATCTGCCAGCACCCTATGACCAAATTTGGACCCCTACCACTTCAGCAGTGTGAGGAACCCTGATAAGTGGCACATGGCAGACGTGTGGGCGATGCGAGACAGCAGCCAATGGGAGGCCTCCTACAGAGACCCATGAGACACACTCTTGGACCTGGCAGCAGCCCCCCGCCCCCTAGGGGCCCCCCATTGGCAGATTACGGCCTGGCAGCAGCATGAGGAGGATCGGTAGCCTCCGGGCCCATGCAGATCCCCACACGCCTGGCAGCACCCCAATGGGACCCCCCCCCCCTCAGCCAGCACCCCCCAGACACATCCAGGCTCACCCAGCACCAGCATGTGAGGAGACCGGTACAGGTGCCCATGACAGAGAGTACGGCGATGAACCGCAGCACAATGGATCGGCCCCCACGGGCTCCACCCCCCCATGACACACTCTGGACCTCCAACCAGCAGCAAGCCACCACCCCTTACTCCACCGCCTCCCCCCCCCCAGAATGCCGAAAGCGTAAGCACCCCCCCCCCTCCTACCACCGCCCCCACCTCCCCCGTGAACCTCCGCCCTATGTTAGCCCCCTAATAACCCCCCCCCGCCCCGCACCCCCCCCCCCCGCCGCTCCCACCCCCTCGCATCCACCCCCACCAACGAGCCCACTCCCTCCCCCTGAAATCCAGAGCTAATGCCTCCCCATACCCCCCCACGCCCACACCCATTCGCACCTCTACCCCACCCACCCAGCTGGACAGTCCACGTGTCCCTCCGCGGAGTTACCCCCCCCTCCACTCCCTTCCGCACTAAACACGCGCCCTCCGATGCACGCTACTGGCCGGGCATGACAGCCTTTCAAGAGCAAATTCAGCTAGTTGGGGCCAAAGGTCCAAGTTTAGCGTTGCCCATAGTCCAGGGGATTGGCTAACCTCGTTGCAGGTGCCTGTCCAAGTAGGCCCAAAGCCTGTTGTTGAGCTCCTGCTCCAGGTCCTCCTGAATGCTGGCTGCTAGCTGCTGCGGCTGGTTATAGTTGCCTCACTGCGCTGGTGATGAAAGCTACTTACGCATCATCGACTGCAGACTAGAGGCAAGCCCGCGCTGCTGGTGGAGCTGCCAACTGCCTCCAAAACCACCACCACCCCTCCCCGGCTGCCATGGCAGCGGAACGGCGAGCGCACCAGGCCCACAGTGTCTGAGGATGGACGTTGGCGCAGAAAAGGAAGAGACCAACTGACTACAAGAGGTGGTTTTTTATAGTACGTTATTTTGTGGCCTGCCGCTCTCAGCACAGGTGTGAAAAAGGCCACCATTTTTGAAACGGGAGCGAGGGTCCAACAAGGTGGACAGCCAAAAGTCATCACCTCCTGTCTGTTGGTTATTATTCGGCTGTCGCTACGCAAGCAAACCGACGCATGCTATGGTCCATTTGGGTGCCAAGGAAATGCGCGGGGACTGCCCTGCCTCCATCTCCACAGCATACTGCCATACGTGTGTCTGGGTCCACTGTCCTCCACCTCTCCTCCTCTAACCAAGATGCGTCCTGCTCCTCCACTCCTAGTCCCGCATGAGTGGAAAAACCACCTTATTTCACTCAATAATTCCTGAAGCACAAATTGTCCTCCACTACTACCTCCTCCCTCTTCTTACCTGTCCTGGCCCCACAGGGGTCATGTGTGCGTTGAGATCTGTGCGCCACAGGCTACCGCACCCTGACCAGCCATTGTTAACCAGCATTTGTTCCAGGACGTAGCAACAGCGGAATGACGTCGTTCATCACCCAATAGACCTGCCGACACACGAATAGCAATGGCCTCCTCAAAGGGCCATGAGCAAGCGTCAGTGTCACGCATGAGCTGCCAATGCTTGTCATCTAAGTTACACAAAGGGGGGGGGGAAAAAAAGTAAACCTTTATCCGCGCTTGTAACATCAGGAAATCGTGATGGCCGTTCGCTGTTCATAAAAGCAGGTCTACCATATGTAGGGTTGAATTCTCACCTTAGTTGCTAAAAACGTCGGCAGATCCCAGTGCGATGCTGTGGAAATTCCGTTCTGCCGCTGCAGCTCAAGGAGGGTGTGCTTTGCGGTGTAGGAATGGCTGAAATGCATGGTGCAAAAGTTTTACGTGACATTTTAAGTATGGTCTTGCAGTGGGATGGTGGATGTTAGGAACCCCGCTTGACAATCACAATTGAACAACGTTGCCATGGCATGGGCGCATTGGGCACACAACCGTCCTTGACGCAGAGCAGACACCATGTTCTTTCCGGTGTCGTCCTGTCTACATGGTTTCAGATTTTCAGTTTGTGCGGAGTACAGCCATCTGTCGATTTCTCTGGTCATTACACTCAGAAGTTCCTCCCCTGGGTTGACTACGTTCGCCAAGGCATACCATGGTGGCAGCAAACACGAAGCAACAGCGGACACCGTTGCCGCCCTGCACATGTGATATGCCGTTCGGCGTAATATGGGAACTTGGCAACGGGGGTGGGCGGCTGAGGACACAAGACACCACCCACCGGAAGACGAGTGGTAGAGGAGGACATCTTTGCTGGACCAAGGACGCGGTGCCAATCGTGGAGGCAAAAGCGGCGTGGACCTGTCCAAGTTGCTGGTGTCGGCTGTGGCCAGGCACCAACGTTTTCACACCCAGTGGGCCGTAAATTGACATGTACTGTCCCTGACCGTAGTTACAGCTCCAACGTCGGCGCTGCCGTTGCAACTTTGGCAGAGACTGGACATGCTCAAAGACTGGCCCACCATCTCTTCTACATGTGAATGCAGGGCTGGCACGGGGCTTTTTGGGAGGAAGAAATGCCGGCTTGGCACTCCTCCACCCGCGGCGCGCACAAGCCCCATCATTTACTCGAAAGGTGCTGAGTCCACCACTTGGAAAGGGAGGGACTGGCAGCACCAGCAACTTGGACAGGAGACGTTCAGCTTCTGCACCGTCGGGTGCGTGCACGCAAACTGTTGTCTCTTGGAAAACGGATTCCAAGAAAGACTGCTGCCAGGAATCCGTGAAGAGGAGTAGCAGGAGAAGGAGCAATCTGAACGAGCGGTAAGATGCCGAACGAGCGACAACTCCCCTCAGCAGAGGTGTTGGAGCCTTGACTGGCGGATAGAGGAGAGGGCGATTGACGTCGGTGACGGAGTAAGTAACGGAGCGGAGTGATGAGCGGGGGCTGGGGCAGGCAGAACCCGCCGTATCTTTATATCACGGTTTTTCCCATGCCACCGAATGCGACGCTGCATATGCTGACTGCAACGCTGTAGTCCCAACAATTGGCTCTCCCTGGCCACGCTTGACGTTCTGCCACATAGTCGACATAACGGCTACGTTTACTTCCTCGGGGCGGCTTGACGAAAAATTAGCCCAACACACCGCCGAGTAGGAAACTTTGCCCCCGCTACTCTTCACTGGCTACTGCTACTTCCTCCGTGCACAACGGCACCACTACTGGCCGTGGTGGTAGGCTGCAGTGGAGCTGGTGCTCTACTCCGTGGCCGTTTGCCCCTCCACTGACTGCTTCTGCTTGCGACAGGATGATCCCCGCTGCCCGCCTTTCCGAGCCTCGGTGGGTTTGCCCAGCGAACCCACGCGACCCTGCCTTTTGCAACCCTCGCTGCCAAGCAAGCTGGCACCCTCTTCTCCTGATGATGCGGAAGCAATAGCCTGAGACGACGAGGCTGCCAAGTGCGATCAGCCTCATCATCATCAATTAGTGTCTCCGCCTCACTACTAGCCCCCTCGGCTGCGTGTGGGTCAGGAGACAGACCTGTCTCTAGACCGGCTACCGAGCCACTCTCCTCGCCAGTACTTTCTCGCCTGCTGCTGAAGAGGCGGATGTCTCCCCCCGTTCCTGACCGCCCTCTGTTAGCTCTTCCCTCACTGTACAGTGGGTCTGAGCCCACAGCATGCATTACTTCGCTTGGTGAGGGAACACCAAAGGACAGGGGCAGTTAGAGGACATGTGGATTTCAGTGGGCATTTGCTCCCGGGCCTTGCCAACTAACGGTTGTGTCTGACGTACACGAACCGACCGTTGGCTGGTAGGTGTCAGAGGTGACCTGGGAAGAGGAAGACGACCGAGCCAACCAATCGATGACGGCAGGGTTGGAGACACGACCGCTGGATGAGGCCACCCGGGAGCACTGGCCTCTGGCTGCGACTAGTGCTGCCTCGACCCTGTTTCCTCTGCTGCCCAAACGTCCATCTGCTCGCTCCTGAAACATTGCCTCCTCTGCCACTCCTCTGCATGTTGTCTGACATACTCTTTAATTCAACGATTCTGTGTCCCCTGAGTAACGATTCTGTGTCTCCCTGAGTAACGATTATGTGTCCCTGAGTAACGATTATGGTGTCCCTGAGTAACAATTATTCTGTTCCCTGAGTAACAATTCTGTGTCCCTGAGTAACAATTCTGTGTCCCTCAGTAACGATTCTGTGTCCCTGAGTAACGATTCTGTGTCCCTGATAACGATTCTGTGTCCCCTCAGTAACAATTCTGTGTCCCCTCAGTAACGATTCTGTGTCCCTGATAACGATTCTGTGTCCCTGAGTAACGATTCTGTGTACCTGAGTAACAATTCTGTGTCCCTGAGTAACAATTCTGTGTCCCTGAGTAAACGATTCTGTGTCTGTCCCTGAGTAACGATTCTGTGTCCCTGAGTAACGATTCTGTGTCCCTGAGTAACGATTCTGTGTCCCTCAGTAACGATTCTGTGTCCCTGAGTTAACGATTCTGTGTCCCTGAGTAACGATTCAGTGTCCCTGAGTTAACAATTCTGTGTCCCTGAGTAACAATTCTGTGTCCCTGAGTAACGATTCTGTGTCCCTGAGTAACGATTCTGTGTCCCTCAGTAACGATTCTGTGTCCCTCAGTAACAATTCTGTGTCCCTGAGTAACAATTCTGTGTCCCTGAGTAACAATTCTGTGTCCTCAGTAACGATTCTGTGT